TCTCTGCAGCCCAAATCTCTGCAGCCCAATTCTCTGTGGCCCCATTCTCTGCAGCCCAATTCTCTGACTATTAAGAGAAGACTAAGGCATTTATACCATGGGGGTAGTGGTAAAAGCTTTGGCTGTTAGATGCTTTGTGAGGCATCCTATTTACATATGGAAGTGGATTTCTGCCACACTGCTAGACTGTTGTCTGCCTGGAGAAATTACAGGAAGGCATGGTACCTTTTGGAGCCAAAGGCCATGTTTATGTTATGGCATTTGTGGCGGACACTTCAAAAGGAGAGACAGGAAAGATGCCAGGAAGACACCCTGCTTATGAAAGGAGCCCGCAGCACATGATCCCGAGCTGCATGAGCTGTCCGGTCGTGAAGGGGCTTCCACTTTGCATAACAGAGGCTCCCAACACATCCTTTTACCTTAAGGTAGTGCCTGTCCTTGAAGGTGTGATGGATTTCTTGCAGACAGCAAAGAGATGGATTTTGTTTCTTAATCCATTCATTTAGCCTGTGTCTTTTGACTAGGGAGTTCAGTCCATTGATATTTAAGGTTGTTATTGAAAGATGTGTATTGGTTGCTGTCATTTTGATTGCTGTTTATGTCCTCTAATTTTGTGTTTCCTCGATTTTACCTTTATTTATTTTATTTCGTTGCCTCTGGGGTATAGTTGTTTCTCTCTCTGCTCTCTGTATTGCTTCAAGTATTCTTTGAAGGGCTGGTTTTGTGGACATGTATTCTTTCAGGCAATTCATGTAATGGAAGATTTTTCTTTTCTCCTCAACTATAATAGACATTTTGCTGGGTAAAGTGTCCAGGCTTTTCTGGCTTTCATAGTTTGCATTGATAAGTCAGCTATAATTCTGATGGGCTTTCCTTTGTATGTGACTTGTGGTTTTTCTTTTGCTGCTTTCAGTATTCTCTCTTTGTTCTGTACTTTTAGTGTTTTTACTATGATATTTCATGGGGAGTTTCTTTTCTGATCCTGTCTATTTGGTGTTCTATGTGCTTCTGTATTTTTATGGAAATGTCTTTCCTTAATTTTGGGAAATTCTCTTCTACAATCCTGTTTAAGATTTGGTCAATCCTACATTCAGCCAACATTCCAACATGGAAGACAGAGGTCTTATTAGCCCTCAACTCTAGTCAGGGTGCTGTAGTCAACTGATGACTTTTGTGGGAGGCAGAATTAGGTTTTATAAAGGGTGAAGCACCTGGTATGTGGCTAGTTATCCAGTGGATGGCCCCACACCCATGAGATATGGGAAGCACACACACACACACACACACGTACACACACACACACACAAGCACAAAGACAGGAAGCTGGGTTTAAGGACAATATATTTTTTAAAAACAGCCAATAACAAGTTTTATTAACCTATAGATATACACCATTTTCTAAGCTTTTTGAAAATATTGTAATTTGGGGGAAAATTTCAATGTTTCCATCTCAGTCACTGAAAGATTTTCAGATTACTTCATGTGTTACTGATGGTTATACATGTATCAAATTTGTTGAGTTCATCTGATTTCATTCTTTTATGTTCATATTTCTTGACATTAAAAACCAAGATTAAAGAAAAAAAAAAGATCTGGTCAACACCATTAACCTGAAATTCTTCTCCTTCCTCTATTCCTATGATCCGTAGATTTGGTCTTTTCATGGTGTCCCACATCTCTTGCATATTCAATTCCTGTGTTTTTAAAAATTTTTCCATACTCTTTGCTTGAGTGGTCTAATTCTTCAACTTTATCCTCCAGTGTTGATATTCTGTTTTCCATTTCATTCATTCTAGCAGTGAGGCTTTCCCATTCTAGAGTTCCCTCTGTTGTTTCAAGTTGGCTTATTGAGTTTTGCATTTCTTTCATTTCTGCCTGAGTTTTCTTCAATGTTTCCATCTCTTTTGTGAATTCATTCAGAAGTTTATCCCTATCTTCTTTTAGTTCTTTGATTTGTTTGTTTTATGAATTTGGGTGCACCAGAGTTTGATGCATATGTGCTAAGGATTGTAATATCTTCTTGGTTAATTGTTCCTTTGCTCAGAATGAAGTGACCCTCCTTATCTCTTCTGATTAGTTTGACTCTGAAGTCTATTTTGTCAGATATTAGAATTGCAATGTGATTTTGGCATGTGAATTTCTTTTGTTGTTTATGATTCCGACATGATAATTAAGTTGAAGTATGCTTCTGTTTGTATAATCGGGGTGCCTAGATCCTTTCTTTATTGGTTATGTAAAGCTGGTTGGTACAGGGTTCAGGTTCTCTCAGGTTTAATTTGGAGGGAACTGATGCCTTCGGATCAGCTATTCAGGAGTACCCATAGAAGCCCAATTCAGGTTCCAGTCAGGTACACTCAGGCTTCCTTCACCACGTGGAGACAGGATCTGGGCCTCTCAGGCAGTCCATGTTCTCGGGTTGTCTGCTAGGATCTCAGCCTTTGCCTACCAAGCTGGGTCTGCCCTGGGGCCTTGGGAGGGGCCTCAGGAAATCCCAGGAAGGGGGATGAGTATGGCGCAATTAGGGGAAGCTCACCACCATGTGGAGGCGGGATCAGGGGCTCTTAGGCAGTCCCCTGCATTGTAGTCCCCTTTGTCCCAGAAAGGCCAGAGGGAGGCCAGAACTCAGCACTCTCTGGCAGTCTGCTGAGATCAGAGCCACAGGTCAGAACCCACCCTCTCATGATGTCTGCTAGGATCTCAGCCTTAGCCTACCAAGGCCAGATCTGCCCTGGGGCCTTGGGAGGGGGCCTCACAAAATCCCAGGTAGGGGGATAGATATGGCACAATTAGGGGAAGATCACCACCATGTGGAGGCAGGATGGGGGCTCTCAGGCAGTCCCGTTCATTCTCAGCCCCTCTGTCAGAGAGAGGCCAGAGGGAGGCCAGAACTCCATCCTCTGGTGGTCTGCTCTCCATTTTACCTTTTTTTTTTTTCTCCCAGAGCTGAGGACCAAACCCAGCGCCTTGCATTTCCTAGGCAAGTGCTCTACGACTGAGCTAAATCCCAAACCCCATTTTACTTTTAAAAAAAATATTTTATCATTTTTATTTTATGTGTATGAGTGTATTGCTTGCATGTATGTAAGTGCACCCATGTGATGCAGTGCCTGCAGAGGTAATAAGCCAGCATCAGATTGCCTAGAACTGGAGTTACAGATGGTGTTAGTTGGCATGTGGGTGCTGGGAACCAAACCCAGGTCCTCTGCAAGAGCAGCCAGTGCTCTTAACCACTGAGCCATCTGTCCAGCCCTTTACTTTAAAAAAAAACCAAACAAATAAAAAATACCCACAAAAAAGAACATTAAATGTTTATTGCAGATGTAACAGCAATGTTAAAACTGACAAATTTAATACTTTTTCTCACGTGCATGTGTGGTGTGCATTCATATATGCATGTTCACAAGTGAATAGGCACATGTGTGAGGTACACAAGGTGGTGAATGCATGTATGTAGTCTTCCTCAGTCATTCTCCACCTCATTCATTGAGGCCAGGTCTCTCAGTTGAGTCCAGAGCTCACTGATACTGCTGGTCTGGCTAGCCAGCTTGACCCAGGGATTTCCTGTCTCTGCCTTCAATGTGCTGGGATTATAGAAGAGCCACCACACCCACCTAGCATTTACATGGGTTCTGGGGGTCCAAACTCAGGTCCTGATACTTGTTGGGCAAGTGCTTTAACCATTGCCCTGTCTTCTCCACCTGGACAAGTTTAATTCTCAACTGCACCAAGAAAACTTAGTCACTTAAGTATTTTTAATTATTCCCTTCAAAAACCGAGGGAGTTTTTCTCTTGTACCACCACACACCACAGTTTCCCTTCATTCTCTACTCTGAGGACTTTGAATTGATTGGTAAATTGCCATGGAGATGCTTTCAGAACTAGTTTCCCCAAATGAAAACTCATCTGAATGAATTACACATTGCATAGAGAAAAGTCACTTTTAAAGACTGTACACATCTCTGTATATTGCTGTATCAATAAAAGACCATTAAAAGTTGGAATTTTATGTCCAAAGCAGAAAGGTTTGATAAATTTAGCATCAATTCTACCTAAAGCATGGGACTCTGGAGCTAGGAAGGTCTGGATTTGTATCCTAACTCTGCAGTTTTCTATCTACTAGCTCAATGCCTTTTTTTTTTTCACTCAATTTCTGTGAACATTAGACTCCATATGTATAAAGTGGGAGCAATAAAATTTCTTGATCAGCAAAGCACACAGCACAAGCATGGTGTGTGGTAAGTGTTCAGAAAGAATTCCAGTGATTTTACTGCTCCTTTTCAACCTTAAATGCACATTTACCCATTCCAACACCTTTGAAATGGAGGCTATATTACTTTTTTGGGTTGCTATTGTTTCTGCAGGTCTCAGAGTCTGGTGGACATCCTCTGTGATTTGCAGATTCCCATGTCCCAGAACAAAATCTTGAACAGAGACATGTGGATAGTAGCAGAAACAATTTATTAAAAGGCAATACACTTCCAAGAGATGAAGTGGGCCAATGTACACATGTACATACAACACACACACACACACACACACACACACACACATGTGCATGCACACATAGTGTGAAATATGGCTTGGAAAGAAGAACTTGTTATGTCTTTTAAATTGTACTTTTTCGTATTGTTTATAATAAAAGCACAACTGAAATAAAACAGTTCCTATAATTGTATAAACTCACATTTAGAGCCAGAGATTTAGTTTGAATAGAATTTAAAATAAATTAAAACTCTTCCACCTCTTCCTCAATCTCAAAATAAAAGGTAGACAATAATGCCATAGTCTGTCATACACCTAGAGCAGACATCAGTTAGGAGGGAAGAAGAGCCTTTTCCGTAGTGTGAAGGTGGGCTGCGGCATCTGCTTGCTCATGTTCCTCGTGTCGTCTTTCTTGCTGACTTCATAGTTCACTTCCGTCAGGATGGTGAGAACATCATCGCCTCTGAAAAACAAAGTGTCATAACATGTTGATCTCTGAGGTAAGAAAACTGCCCACGTCTCATTGGCTGTGCCCAGGGATAGTTCTCTAGTTCTTTCTCTCAAAACATCAAATCATAAGTCACTGAATCAAGACCTACCATTTTCAGGTACATCAGTTGTCCAAAAGCCTAATGAATTGCCTTTTATTTATTCAGGATCTCTGTTGACTATAAGAAGCCTCAGTCCCAGGATCAGATTTGATTTCCTTCCTTCGCAACCTGTGTACCTCACTATGTTCTGCATATTATCATCTGGCCCCCATAAATACCTCCGTGCCCCCCACCCCCGCTGCCATATGCTCTGTCTAAATTGGCATTGCGTCTGTGGATTCATCTACAGTACAACCAAACCAGCCAAGTAAAAGTCTCCTGCAACCACCTCCACCCCTTTGTCACCAAGATGTCTTAGCAATCTTGTTTGGCAACCTCTTCATCGATCTCTCAGCTGACACCAGAACCCTGCAGGATTTGTGGCCTGTGTTACAAATGAAAACAGCGCACCTAAGTTATGGTTCACTCTTCACATGCCATGGCAAAGTCTTGTTCTGCATAGACTCAAAACAGAGTAAGAAAGAGATCAAAAAGAATCTGGTAGAAGTTTCCCTACTGTTCATCTGTCATCTGGGAGTGTGTGAGGAAACAAATATGAAGCCCAGATTTAACTAAATACGGAGCTTGTGATATAAGAAGGGTATTGTCCCACATCTTATGATTTCAAAGCAGACTGAATTAGTGAACCATAAGGGTTTCCCAGTCTTTGCTACTTACATCCCATAATTTAACAAATAGATTTAAGGCTATTATTATAAAAATTAATTACATTTATTGTGTGTGTGTGTGTGCACATACATGCATGTGTGAGAATGACATGGCATGTGTGTGGAAGTCAGAGAACAATTCGCAGGAGTTGGTTCTTTGGCAGCAAATGCCTTTATCTACTGATCCATCTTGCCAGCCTTATTATAGGACTTTCAACAGAGTTGGAACATGTTAAATATTGAAGTGGATTACATCTGTCTTGGAAGACTCCCAAAAGCAGTTGAGTTGCCTCAGTCATTTGGCTGCCTAAAGACAGAGACCTGAACTGAATAATATTAGCATCCTTTCCAGCTCTGTGGTACCTGGTTGCTGAATAAAGGAAATACCTTCAGTATGTCCATTTTCCATCTGTGAATGAAAGATGATAACACTCGCCACTTCTGCCACTTTGCAAATGAACTCTGAAGTAGAGCTGTGTGATCCACAGCTAGGCATTTAAAGATGAATGGAAGTCACTGCTCATGATACTTCTCTGCTCAGGTACTATTATCACAACCATAAAGTGCTTCCTAATGGGCTCTGACTATGGATATGTAGTAATGATAATGAGAAAGGCAGTGTAACATTGAGAAGGATCCAGTAGGAAAAACTTACTGAGGACATCTTTCCCTCAGGCTCCGGCAAAGTGACTGGATATACCAGGTCCCGTTTGTGGGGTCTCGATAGGAAACACAGTTCTTCACGGTAGCCATACCCAGCAGAAAGTCAGCCTCATCTGGGATGTACTTCCTTTGAGATGATGAATCCATTTCTAAATTGGTGTCATTATTTGAGTCAGTCTCAATAGGTATAGCTTTCTGATAGCTATCTCCTTGACAAGCCTGAATAAAAAATATTTTGGGTTTTCCAGCCAAGGAAGGGCACTTTGAACCTGTGAAATAAGATGTCAGCTCATAGATAGAGGCCTCCTGCCCATCGGTGCCATAGACAATGCCTTTGTCTCCATGGGAGAGGATACAGCAGATGAAGCAGTCTTTGTTACTGTGGTCCATGCTTTGGTAGGATTCCAGAACCTCATGAATTTGTTTTGCTGTGCAGTCTTTATGAGGTACTACCTCAAAATGAAGTCCTGTAAAGGTCTCATACAAAGCATCTGAAAAGTAAAATAGGAAAAATCGTATTACAATAGCTTCCTGAACACAACCCAGAGATGGTAAAATAGAGGGGCTTAACATCAGTAGACAAGAATTTGAGGCTAGAATTAGACCATCTATATTAGTAACTGGATCCTATGGGTTTCCAGTATCTATGGCTGCAAATCAAAGCATTCTACAGCTGAGGCAAATGAGAGAGGGAGAATGTTATTGTAGAGCTGTGGTGGTTTGAATGACAGTGTCCCCCATAAGCTCCAAGTATTTGCATATTTTGTCCCCAGTTGGTGGTGCTGTTTTGGGAGGTCTTAGAAAGTGTGGCCGTGCTGCAGGAAGCATGTCACTAGGGACGGGGTTAGAGAGTCCTAAGCCTTGTTGGATTTCTGGCTGCTTTCTGCTTCCTGTTCTTGCTTAAAGATGTGAGAGCTTAACTTCTGCTTCTGCTCAGGCCACCTCACTGTGCCTCCTGCCAGGATGGATTTTAATTCCTCTGGAACGTGGAATCATAAGCTCAAATAAACTCTTCTTCCTATAAATTCCCTTGGTCATGGTGTTTTATCACAGCAACAGAGAAGTAACTAACATAAGCTGTAAACTTTCAAACTAATGTTTTACAAGATGGGTGAGCTATTATTTAGGCTTATTATCAAGTCAGATTTTAAAATTATTGTATTTATGATATAATCAGAACAAGAAAAAATATCTTGAATAAAACATTTATAAGTTAAATGCTATCAAATATATGCACATTTGTCAAATAAAAGATATATAAAAGATATGAATAAGAGGCCAGTCGTATGCCTTTAATCCCAGCACTTGGGAGGCAGAGGCAGGCGGATCTTTGTGAGTTCGAGGCCAGCCTGGTCTACATAGTGAGTTCCAGGACAGCTGGGGCTGCAAGGAGACCTTGTCTCAAAAAGACAAAAAAATATGAATAAAAATAGAACTGAGACACATATTACACACTTTCCTTCACCATTTATTATACTTTGTGAAGGTGACCGCTCTTAGCTTTTCACTGTTTTTGTTGTTGTTGTTGTTGTTTGGTTTTTTGAAACTGGGTCTCTCTGTAGCCCCAGCTGGCCTGGAACTCAGCATGTAGACCAGGCTGGTGTCAGTCTCACAGAGATCCACCTGCCTCTGCCTCCCAAGTGCTAGGATTAAAGGCATGCACCACCACACTAGTCTTCCCTATTATTTTTTAATTATTGTCATTTTTATATTCCCCTGCCATAAATTACTGTCCTTTAAGTTGTAAGTTCTCAATCTTAACATAAATAGACTGCCCAAGAGAATTTTTTACCAGTTAGCATTTGAAAAATGCTAGTTTTGTTAGGAATTCAAGATTCCTGATACACTCAATAGCATAACCTTTATGAACATGATCCCCATACAAATTTTGATCAACAACTTTACAACTAAATCAATCTGCAGAAGAACTATTCATTTGACTGAATTAAAAGTCAAGTTCACAGGGCTAGAGACGTGGCACAGCGGTTAAGAGCACTGGTTGCTCTTGCAGAGGACCTGAGTTCGATACCCAGCACCCACATGGCAGCTAACAACTGTCCTAACTCCAATTCCAGGGGATCCTACACCCTCTTCTGATCTTCCACAGGCATTGCATGACACAGGTGCACTTACATACATGCAAGCAACACCCTCATACATATAAAATAAAAATAATAAAAATATTTTTTAAAAAGCCAAGTTCACTGATACTTTTTATTATAAACCTTTTAGTAAGAGTTATTTCATCATTACACACAGATTACTTTGATTTTTAAAATATAATTAAAAACAAAAGCAGAAAACTAAAAAATATATAAGAATATATTTGAGTGAAATGAAGAAAATGAGTAAAAATTAAATGCTTGAAATATCTTGAACAATGAATCCATTTTCTTGAAACATATAGCCCTTTCTTGTATAACTTTTGCTCACCCTTATTTGATTAAAAGGAGTAGGAAACAGTTCGTGTCTCTCATGGATTCTACTATACCTTCATCCTGGTTTGTTCCTTTCCTATCCTTTATTTTGGAAAGTTTGGGTATGTCCTTCCGTGCCTTGCTAAAATCGTTATTGTTGAAGATCAAACAGTATCCCCGAGGTTTGTTTTTCATTTGGTAAACTTTGTCCAATGTCTGGAAAACAAAAACCCAACCCAGGAGTTTACTCTGCAGATCAAGCAAGAGATGTAGGAACAAACAGCTGCCCAGGAAGAAATTGGGTTGCTGCCTAGCCTGGGAAGCAGGTGCTTCCTCTATTGCTCCATCCCAATTTGGGGCCATGTCCCTAAGAAAGGGCTCTCTCCCTTGCACAGCCTTCTCTTCAGCTGGCAAGTCAGTGGACCTGGGCCTGCTGAGTACCTCACACATACATTAATGCTGTTGTCATTCTCATTTCATCTTCTCTAACTATACAAAAGAGCCTTCGGGCCAGAGAAACATCTATGCCATCTGTGGAGACTAGAGTTTTGTAATTTGGGAGAGTTCAATCAAGAATAGCTGAAGGGATGCCCTTCCACAACACTGGGATTCTCTTAGCAATCTCCTCAAGTCATCTGTGGTTCTTGGCTAACAGCTGAGGGACTTCTCACATAAGATAGTATGGTCCCAGGGTGGTTAAAGCTGATTTCATAAGCCAGTGCTCAGGACCAGCATGGCTGCTGGAGAGCAAGGGGCTGGTCATGCCATGGTTACAGAATCCTGAGAGTAAGAATCTGAGGGGGAGGGGCCTTGTGCTCTGCATACTTCCCCAGGGCTGTTTCAGGCTGAGATTCTTAGCATCTAGTTGGAAGTCTGTGCAGCCTCTTGAAACGCAGAAAAGGACCCCAGGCTAGGAAAATAAATGCCTGGTTCTAGGACTTCAAAACTTAAGACTCTAAGCATGTTACCTCATCTCTTAGGAGCTTAACATGTTTTCTAATGTACTGGATTTCTCTTCATATTGTAAAAATCTTCCACCTTTTAATAGACTTTTAAAAAAATTTATTATTTTTATTTTATGCTTATGGGTGCATTGCCTGCATGTAGGTAAGTGCACCCATGTCATGCAATGACTACAGAGGACAGAAGAAGTCATTGGATCCCCTGGAACTGGAGTTACGGACAGTTGTTAGCTGCCATGTGGGTGCTGGGATTTGAATCCGGGTCTTCTGCAAGAACAACCAGTGTTCTTAATGACTGAGCCATCTCTTCAGCCCCCTTTTTAAATCACTTTTAAGACATAAAGTGTTTTATTAAGTACTTACAAAGTATATTTGGTATTGACTATTAAGTATCTAAGTATTTACTACTTACTTTACATAAAAGATACTGTAATGCTATGGTTTACTAAGGTATTGAGATGGTATCTTTAGCTCTTTAGTGACCACAATGCCTGTAGAATGCTATGCTGCCTCAGAGTGCCACACTATGTTTAACCCTTGCTTTCCAGTCTGAAAGAGGTTTGAGAATTTTCTCAGGGGCCCACCCTAGTACATATTCTTTCTCAAGCCTAATTGAGAAGCCTCCTGTGCTTTGTGCCACAGGGAGAAGTGAATGGGCTAATGAGTCAAAATGTACTGGCGAATACATATGTATTGAAAACTACATAAAGAGAAGCTATGTCTAGAGAGGCAATTTCCCTACAGGCTCATTGAGACAAAACTAAGAGATGATGAGATCATCTCTTGCCTATGTGTAATCACAAAGGAGAAATCTCTGAAATGTCAAGCTGGAGAAAACCTTGCCTGCTCCAGCTCTGCTAGATTCCTCGGCAAAGTTTTCTCCACTTTGGCTGACATAGCTGCTGAAAGAAGAGCCTCCCACACTCTGTACCACCATCTATGCCTGTACTTTTGCCTTTGGCCTTATAATAAAAATTTAGACGCCAGGGGCTAAAGAGATGGCTCAGTGTTTAAGAGCACTGGCTACTCTTACAGAGGATCTGGGTTCCGTTCCCAGCACCCACATGGTGGCTAACAACCACCACCCTTAACTCCACTTCATGAGAATCCAATGCCCTCTTCTGGCCTGTACAGGCATTGCACACATGTGGTGCATGTGCATACATGCAGGTAAAACACACACACACACACACACACACACACACACACACACGCTAAAAAAAAAAATTCATTTTTAAACTTAAAAAAAAAAACTTAGAGGCAGGTCCATGCCTGTAATCCCAGCACTTGGGAGGTACAGACAGGATTAAGAGTTCAAGGTCATCCCTGGCTACATAGTAAGTTCAGGGCCAATATGGGCTATTTGAGACCCTGTCTCAAAAACCAATAAAAATAGTAATTTAACCCACAGAAAACTGGAGAGACCACATTTTAAAAAGAATTATATTCTCCTTTTTAATAAAGATTAATAATTATTATTTTTGTCTTTTTGAGACAGGGTCTCCTTGTAGCCGCAGCTGTCCGGGAACTCACTGTGTAGACCAGGCAGGCCTTGAACTCACAGACATCTGCCTGCCTCTGCCTCCCAAGTGCTGGGATTAAAGGCATGTACCACCATGCCCGGCATTATTTATTATTTTTATTTTTTGTGTATGAGTGTATCACCTGCATGTATGTGAGTGCACCCATGTCATGCAATGCCATGGAGATCAGAAGAGGGCTTTGGACCCCCCTGGAACTGGAGTCAAGGATAGTTCGTAGCTGCCATATGGGTGCTGGGAAATCGAACCCGGGTCCTCTGCAAGTGCAGCCAGTGCTCTCAACCACTGAGCCATCCAGCCCATATTATTCTCTTTTTAAAAAAATATTATTTTTACTTTATATGTACAAGTGTATTGCTTGCATGTATGTAAGTGCACCAGTGTTGTGCAATGCCCATGGAGGTCAGAAGAGAGCATTGGATACCCTGGAACTGGAGTTACAGAGAGTTGTTAGCCATTATGTAGGTGCTGGGAATTGAACCCAGATCCTCTGCAAGAGCAATCAGTGCTCTTAACTACTAAGACATCTCTCCAGCCCTAAAGAATTATATTCTTAACTGATCCTTTTGTGAGCTTTTTTTCCCTAAAAAGGTTCTCGATATTTCCAATAAATTTCTGCCCCTTATTGGTTCAGCTAGCAGCTTAGAAAGAACTAATAAACACAAGGATCAAAATCTTGAATGCAAAGGGAAAGAGGAGGTGACCATGTACCTGTGACTCATTGTCTTGTTCCCTTGGGGAGTCTGACATTTCCTGCACTCCAAAGCACCCCTCCCCTGCAAGAGACCAAGAAATATCCTGAATGAGAGGCATGGCAGAAAAGGTTGTCTGGTAAAGAAATACATAACATCTAGGACAGCCCACGATCCTAAAATTTATTATATGTGCATGTGCACATGGATGGTGTGTATGTGTGTATGCATGTGTGTATATGCATAATATATGTGTGCATGATGTGGAGTTAGTTCTCTCCTTCCACCTTTTACGGGAATTGCGTGGCAAGCACTTTTATCCACGGAGCCATCTCGATGGTCCCTAAGGCCCTTTTAAAAATGAAATTGAGACTGCCTTGACCATAATATTTTAGTAGGTAGAGATCTTGTAGGGAGATCAGTTTGCACAACTCGGAAATGTGAGAGCAAGGTGTCTTATGACCAAAGGGAAAATTGTACACAGGTTGAATCTTGTGGCATCTGTAAGGCAGTCATTAACCAAACCACTGGCTCAGGATGAGTTACTTTTGATTCAAAACTACAAAAGGTGCTCTGCAAGCCCTGGGCTCAAGCAGGCTTGGAAATAGGGAAGATCTGGCTCCATGGATATTACTCAGATTTTATCTTTAAAGAAGAGTGATCCAAAATGTATCACACAAGAAGAGCAAAGGTCAAAACATAAGAAAGGCATTACCAACATTAATATTTACAGAGTAGGAGCACGTGGCAGAAGATGGTGAGAAGAAGGCTGGAGGAGATCAAAGAACAAATCAAGTCTACATTTGAAAATGCATCTAGAAGCACTACCGTTTGAAACTGAGTCTGGACCTGCTTCAAGGCTCATTCTTCTCACTGCATTAAAAAGAGAAAACACCCAAACATGATCAGAAACAGCTGTTGCTCAGGGATTTTCCAATGTCAGAGAGGGTGTTATGGACCCAAAGGGTCAGGCCATCTACCTCTGCTTGATTTCTCATAATCCTCGATCTTCCCCAGCAGGCTCTTGTTGACTTGATCACACATATTTTTCAGGTTGTCCAAATTTCCTTCTCCTAGAATGAACCTCTTCTCCATTTCTATGAAAATGTCAAGCAAGGTCTAGGGAGAAATAAAGTGGGAAGACTGGACTGAGTGCACTGGTTTACAGATTCGAGCCTTTATAAAAAGTTTACACTTTCTCCAAACCAAGGGCCCAGCCTTACTCCCCTCATAACTGACAGATAACCAGGAAGGCCATTCTGTGTTTTCTGGCCTAAAAGGAACAAAAGTGGGAAGATAGAGAAGCCATATCAGATGCCCCCCAGTCCCCGGATCTCAAACTGTATACAGATGCCTTTATCTGTGAACCAGCCTGAGGTGTACAAGCCTGGGACTGCCTTGTACTCTAACATTGCCTTTGACACCTTATCTACCTCTGAACCTCAATTAACACACAGTGAGACATATAAACATACCATTCACACAGAGAGACACCATCTACATAGATACAAATACTAAATATACACAGAGCTACATACACAGCATACATCAAAACAGACAAATACACCACACAGGAAACAAGACAGACTTACCACACACACACACACACACACACACACACACACACACACACACAGACTCATACAGATATATAGATACCACACATATACAAGCATAGATCAATAAAGAAACATATACAGAGATACACACAAATACAAATGCCACATATATACACAGATATCCCTCAAACACATAACATGTAGACACCACACAACATACTCACATACATACCACAGAGAGAAACATACCACACACACTGAGAAACAAACAAAAAAACCTGCATAAGCTGTTTCAAGGGCTGCAGAAGTTGAGTAAATGTCGCCCAGATGATCACTTCCTTCCTGGCTCTGCTGGGTCCCACACAGTGTGTTGTGCTGTACAGCCTCCCTTCTCTGCCTCCTTCTCTGGCAACCTGCCCTATGACTAAGTGGAGTAGCCCTTCATAGTGCAAAGGCATCATCAGATCTACAGCATTCCTGCCCTGATTGCTTTCTTCTCCCTGGCTAAGAAGCGAGAATACAGGGACTGGGGATGTAGCTCAGTTGGTAGAATGCTTGCCTAGCATGCACAAAGCCCTGGGTTCGATCTTGGTGCCACACAAACCAGGAGTAGTGGCACATGTCTGTAATCCCAGCACTCAGGAGGTGAAGGTAGGGAGATCAGAAGTCCAAGGTCATCTCTGGCTACATAGTGAGTTTGGGGCCAGCCTGAGAGAAATGAATACCATGTCTCAGATATCTGGTCTTACCGAGTCATCATCCAGCTTACATTTGGGGATCTTCTCGTTCAACAAAAATTTAAAAGATCTCAAGTCCTCTTTGCTCACATCTTCTGAGAGCTGAAATAGCATCACCCTGTGGTAGGAAATGAAGACACTTTAGAAACACGCCCTGGATCATTTCCCATTGCTACATGGAGTCACAGTGGAACTCATTCCAAGAGCCTCCTTAAAACAGAGCCAGCTTGGAGCTGGAGAGATGGCTTAGTGGTTAAAGAACATTTGCTGTTCTTCTAGAGGACCAGGGTTTGAGTCCCAGCACCCACATGGCAGCTAACAACTGTCCTTAACTACAGTTCCAAAGAATCTGATGCTCTCTTCTGGCTTCTGTGGCCACTGCACGACCCAGATGCACTTATATTACATGTAAGCAAAACACTCATACACATAAAATAAAAATAATAAATAAAACATTAAAAAAAAAACCAGAGCCAAGTAGGGACATGACTGGTGAGCTGCATTCTTGAGCAGAGGTTGGATAGTGACACAGAAGTCCATCAACTTTGTCTTCCAATTGACTAAAAACATAATCATGCACTGTTTCCTAATTGTTAAAAGAATCTTGCTTTTCCTTTGTCACTATAAACAAAGATCTACATGCAAAAGAGAAAAGCTTTGATTTGGGAGGAATTATATTTTCCATATTACATATCAGAGCCTGATTTCCCCTCCTAAAACTGGTCAGTGTTCTAGCCATTTCCTTCAAGAGGAAAGCCAAACATTTGATTCAGGAATATTAGGGACTCCAAACACACACACACACACACACACACACACACACACACACACACACACGCACATGCACAGAGTTCTCACCAACACCAAATGTCCTGAAGCTCCCAACACAGCCAGCTGCCCTGTGTTCTCACTGCTCCCCACACCCACATTCCCTCAACCAAGGTGCACATGCCCCCTCACCCATCAGCAATCACCATTGCCTGAGTGTCCTCAGGGCTCTATTATCTCACTGGGCCTTCAATGAATTCCCTCCAGAAGGTGAACACATATTACAATTGTCTGTATGTAAACTGTCCAAGTCCCCTGATAGCCCAACCCATTCTTTTTTACTTCTATAAACAGGAGAGTTAGGAGGTACAGTGTTTGAGCACAGAGGATCTAGACCACCCATGTTCCCACCATCTTTGAGCTCTGTGACTTTAGACATGTGATACTTTCCTTGCTCATCTGCAGACTGGAGATAAATGTATATCTACATCCTAGGCAAGTGTTGAAGATTACATGAATAAGTTAACATGAACTACAGACATGCTGCTTAATGATGGGGATACCCTCTGAAATACACATCGTTAGCGGATATCTTCACTTTGTGAACATCAAAATGTGTTCTTAAACTGGTTGCTATAACATCACTCAGTAATATCATCTCATGGGATCACCATCACTTATGTGGTTCATGGACCAAAGTGTTAGGCATATGACAGTACTTAAACCAATCTTAAACTGGGTGCTATGACATATGACAGCACTTGGTAATATAATCTCAAGGAATCACCATCACTTACATGGTTCATAGACCAAACTGTTACATAGCACATGACAATACTTAAACCAATCCTTTGCAGCACACCAAGAGTTCAGTAAGTGAAGCATTTCCTGGTGCCTGCCTGACATATTTAGGATCCTGGAATATGCTTGACAAATAAATGAACAGAATTTTAAATTCAGCAGAATTTTCAACACCGTGGTGTAAAGAAAGAAAAATAACTTTAATAGACAAACATATTGATGCCAAAGCTGAATTAGGAAATTAAAATTGTGAAAACAGAAACAGTACAGAATCAGAAGACACTAGCATTATCATCTTCTCAAGAAATCTCTATCTCCAAAATACTTCTCTAAAGCATTCTTGGATTGGCCGAGATTGGATTCAACCAAAAGCTACTACAACTCTCCGAACTTTATTACAAAGTACTTGGGCCCTTTCATTCTCTCACTATTGAAACCAAAAGGCTGTCATTAGCATCACTGTCTAGGACTAAACATGAATAGTTTATAAGATACTTATTTGTATAGGCAGAAGCAGAATTTGAAAAGAAAACATCTAGAGCTTTCTTATAGCAGTAAGTTACCACACAAGCATGCTTTTTAATCTTCTGGTTGATCTTCAACAATGATGAACAAGCAGTCAGTGAGAGTTTGCTGACTCTTCTGTGTAAGCCACAGTGTTGAAGTCTTTGACAGATCCTGGTTAGGGAACTTTGGGTTTCCCACCAGAAGGATGCTGATCACTGTCCAGCATCATGGTTTGCCTCAGTCTAGTTCAGGGCTGGAATCTTCAGAAACCCAAGATGGTGGCACAAGGTGAGGACACACATCACCCAGCCTTCCTAGTTCTGAGGTATAGTCTATTAGGATGAACAGGTATTTTAACAAATAAACTCCTTATGAAGAGCACAGTTCTAGTAAACCAAAACTACCCAATGTGCCTGGTATACTAATAGATATCCTCCAGTTCCCCCCAAGTCTCTGCAGATAAAATTCCATTAAATTGGATTCATTCTGGATTAGGAGAGGGCTATTTAAACATTTAGTGTCCTTAGAAGAAGAGGGAAAAGGGCAGACGAGCAGCCTCAGAGATGAGAACATAGGCAGAGATTAGAGGGACACTTCTGAAAGTCAAGGAACCAGAAGCTGGGAGCATAGAATAGGGCAGACTGTGCCTCAATCTCCAAAGAGGAGCCAATTTTGATGGCACCTTGATTTCTGAATTGGAGCCCCAGAACTATGAGAGAAAAAATTATGGGTATGGTTTTGAAACCAGCAGTTTGTGGTACTTTATTATGGCAGCCCTAAGAATATAAAGCACCCAGAATATTTACTTTCTCACTTAATATCAAAATAGGCCTGAAGTAGGAAGAGATACAACAGTGAGGAAGGATGGTAGCTGCCATCCCTGGCTGTGCAGCTTTCCCAGCCAGGAACTGACAAACAAGGACAATCACACCGAGGCCATGCACCCCGTCAGCAGCATCACAAAGACATGCCCCTGCAGCCCACACCTCCCAGTCCCCACACCAGGTTATGTCTACCCACCTGTAGGGAGAAACCTGGGCTCTGCCATGAACCTGCAGCTTCTTCACCATCTCCTCCTTGCTGCTGCCTAGGAAGTTGGTCAGTAGGTCCAAACGACTGATGAGGAAAAGCAGCTCCTTCAGGAAGGATAGATTGCCTTCCTCCAACAGGCCCTTTTCCTGTAGTTTCTGGAATAATGCCAGGGCATCCTTGATGGGTTCCTGCTTCTTCAGTGGGATGAAGTCCAGGCTTAGAAACTTGAGGCCAGCCAGGTCATCACTGCCCAGTTGTTCAGAAATGAGGTAAAGGCAGCTGCCGAAATCCATCCTAGTCAAGAGGTAGGAGAGCGCTTACCTAGATCAACATACAATGCAATGTTCAAGTGAGGAAGCAAAGGACCAGCTGCTGGTTTGTTTATTCAAGTGCATCTACGTATTCCAGACATTTTACAGGGAAGAGGTGAGACCCTATGAAGCAAAACAGAGCAAATTCCTGCTACCTTTTTAGGGAGGTGAATATAGGGAAAGCCAGTGGTCAGACAGTCTTGACCAGGGTGCAGTATCAGTGTAGGTAACAGGCTTCCTGCAGAAAGGAACCTTGGGGAGGAGATAAGAAAGAACAATTATTGAATTAAAAAATATGCAAAAGGTAGAGGCAAAATGGACAGGCACAGCAGTTCAGTAAAGTACCCCAAAGGGTCTAGAATAGAGGGTGGTGACTCCGCCAGGGACACACAGTGTCATGGCTAGAAACACAGGCTTTACCTTGGATCAAAGCCTGGCTGTGACACTGGCCACTCGGCCTTGGAGAGCTGCTTCATCCAAGCAACATTAGTTTCCTGGTGTGTAAACCTGGGATTGGAAGAATGCCTAGCTCCTAAAACTGTGAATCTGAGATAATACCTATACTTAGAATGTTTAGCAACTAATGAATGCCAAATAAATGCCAACCTCCAAGAAAGAGAAAGCCCCAGCTCAGGGGCCCAAACACTGAGGCCATGGTGCCTTGAGCCCTTCTCCCACCTCCCTAATTTTCCTATTTCCTCCATTAGAGAATGTGAAAGTTGAGTTGGGAGTGGTAGTTCTCATCCTCCCCCCATTGAGGAGCTTTGCCTTACTCAGAAGGAGCCTTGCCCTCAAGAGGTGAGTCTGGATGGCTACTGTTTGAGAATCTTGAGCTAATCAAAAACCTTTATGTTCCCACCCAGCTCCATTACTTCCATGAAGCCTCAGACATTGCATCTTTGGCCACTGTCCTTCACTTTAACCTTGAAACAGTTTTCACCCCTACAACAGGAGGATGGTTCCTGCATCTTGAAGTCCTTGCTGCCATTCATGGATGAAAACCTTAGTCCGACCCAGCACTCAGAGGCAGTGGCTGAAGGAGCCACACTCATGGCCTTCTACTGTACATGAGATGCTAAAATCAAAATATTTTTTAGCTGGGCATGGTGGTACACACCTGCAATCCCGGCACTGAAGATGCAGAGGCAGGAGGATTGCTGCAAGTTCAAGGCTAACTTGGTCCACAGAGCTGTTCGAGGCCAATTGGGTTTACATATGGAGACTCTGTCCTAAAACACCAAAACAAACAAATAATAAATATATTTTTGGTTTTACATTAGAATAAGTTTTCGTGTTTTTTAATGGCAAAAACAAAAACAAAAAAGCACAAAACCTTTTCACTGTCCCTTTCAGAAATGCCTTTTCCCTTCCTATAACAGTAACAGTTGATTTGGGGTCTGAAATTCAAAATACAGTAACTTACAAAATGAATGATCACAGAATCATTGTGATGTGCCACATATACTCATGTGTTCACACATACCAATATACTCTGATATAAAACTGGAACTAGGCTACACAGGCAGATGTGTACATCACTGCTGAGGTTTCCTTCACTTGACATTACAATGAACAATTACACTGTTCCCCTGCTTACGTTATTTTGAAACAGGGTCCATTATGTAGCTCAAGTTGGCCTGGAATTCACCATGTACCAGACCTTGAACTCACAATAACTTCTGTCTTAGCCTTCCAAGTGCTGGGATTAAAGATATGTGCTCCCACACCCAGCACTTCTACAGTTTCACTGTTAAAACACTATTTCACTGGACACTTCTCCGTCTTCTACATGTCCCTGATTATGTATTTATGTATTATTAGTATGTGTGTGTCTGTGTGTCAGTGTCTCTCTGTGTGTATCTGTGTGTCTGTGTCTGTCTGTGATTGAAGAAAGGGGGGGGTATGGGCATGTGTGTGCCACCGCAGGTGTGTGAGGAGGTCAGAGGACAACTCTGTGGAGTGGGTTCTCTTCTTCCACATTTTTGTGGGTTCCAGGGATTGAACTCAGGTCATTAGGCTTACATGATAAGCACCTTTACCTGGTGAGCTATGTCACTGGTCCTCTCTAATTATTTTCTTAAATAAGCTGCTAGAATTGGGATTATGAAGCAAAAAATTTTTTTTGTCTTCTTTGACCTAGAGATTAGATCATCACTTAAATAAGTTTTCT